ACAGGTAAGACACCAATCGGGGAGTGAGAAAGGGAAAGCCTAATTAATTAGAAAAGAATCAAACATGAAAAAGATATATAACCTCCGTCATCAAGGACACAGGGAGCTTCCACCTCTGGCTTCCTCCACAGAGTTCCTCTGAGTTTCTTCCTCTGAACTTCCACCTCCCAGTTCCAAACCTCTCTTTCTACATTGTCCCCCGAGAGAGATCAATTGTGTTATCCTTCCTATCACCACCATCTTGATATCTGACTCGCTGCTGCCCCAGGGCTGTTCTTAAGAAAAACTAAAGAAAGGATCCAGGACTTTCTCTACTGACACATCATCAAACTTGGATGTGCAAACCCGATTATGTAAGCATATGTTGAAAAATAAACGGTTTTCTTTTGTAACACTTGTCATTTCCTGCCTCCAGAACCACCACCCACATATGCGAGAGCCTTAGATCATCCCAGCAAAAGGAAATAAACCCCCTAATCAGCGTGATTACATAAACAATTCCTTGCCATTATGATAATGACAACTAAAATCAGGTATTGTAATAAATTTTATGTTTTTTATCATAATTTATCACATTTACTAGTCATTATGAATACTGTTATCATCTATTGAGCAAAGTGATGATAATGATACTTTGAGGAATGATCATCCAACAAAATATTAAATTTTTTTTAATAAAAGTCTGTAACAAGAAAACTATTTTAAAAAATGTTCTAAAATAGAATCTCTAATGTTCTGTAAAGTTTGACGCTTGATGCAGGCCTTAAAAGAGGTCGAAAATGCTCAGTTTTATATTTAATTCAAATACATATTATTTGCTAGAAGATTGTATGTGTGGTATGTAGTGTTTAAATTTTTTTATACCATATACCAAAATGACATTCCAAAATGTTTCCTTTAAGTTGATTTTTTGTGACAAAATTATATAATTTTGTTAATACTGTAATACTTATTTTAAAAAATACTACAGTTTGTAAGTGAAATTTTCACGAATTATTCTGTTGAATGCTATGTGCAAAGTAATTGCCAAAGTTAACTGGATTTAATAATGATTCTATTTATTATATAGTGTATATAGTGTGTGTTGATTAATAAAGAGTTTAATGTAATAAATATACCTATTTTAATATTAACCATATAATATGAATGAGTTTTTCTTAAAATACTTTGAAATAATCCTTAATAAAAAAGTAGACTTTTTTTAGAAAATGCAATTGCCCAAAGGGAATGTAGCTTTATGCATAATGTCTGGTCAATTTAATAAATTAATCAATATTTATCAAGCTGTGCAGCCATTTTAGCCATTATTAATAATGACCTATTAATTACTTGGCCCAAAACATATATAGGAAATCCTTGTTAATTCAAACTTGGATAGTTTGAAATCCCATTAGTTTGTAACAATACTATTTGTCGCAGCAAGGAATATAGAGATTTACATGTTAAGGAATTCAGTTAGTTTGAAATAAGGCTACTTCATAATTCAAAGTGAAAATTCTGTGTGAACTGTGAAATGCATATGTTAACTCATTCATTTAGATTGAAATGCCTCCATGCCATAAGAGAACAATAGACCAAGAACAACTCTAATCTAATCTAATATGATTGCTGTTACAGAACACATTTTTGAGTGTCACCTTATTCTTGGACTACTCTTTCTTCTCTTATATCATAAATATAAAATATGGCTGGGATTTCAGATTGTTAGATTAGGTTACTAGTAGTAGATTGAGATATTTACTGCCTAGAGTACTACACATATCTCAATCTCTAAGCCAGAAACTCTAGGCAAAAAGTAGTAAGTCACCCAAATGTAATCATTAAGGCAACTTACTACTTTTTGAGCTACTTTAAAAATAATTTGGCTACATTTCAAAGAATTCTGCTTTACTTTTTATAAAACCTATCTGGCAACCTGTGAGGTTCTCACTGGACACATGTTGTTTACCTGCAGTTTATTTATAGCATTATTGTTAATTAACGAAAATAGCAATCTGCGTAAGTAGCCGTATTCTGTTTGCTTAATAAATTACATCAGTTATATGGCATTTGGCATATTATACAGAAATGTGTAAATCTCATAATTTGAAGTCGCAAACATTTTGTTTCCTGAATTTTGCACTAATGAGGATTTCCTATGCATACTCCATATATGTACATACAAATTGAATATCTTTAATCTGAAATGTTTGGAAATTTCAGATTTTAGAATACATGATATGATGGAGTTAAAGAGAATTATCCTTATCAGATTTTTAAAAATATTTTTAATAATATATAAGCAATCAAACAGAAAATAAGTAAACATAGACATTTTTCATTGACAGTGCTTGATGGTTTATTGAATCACAACAATATATGCCATGTTTTTGCAAGCCCTATTTTTATCATTTTTTATGACACAGTGAATCATAGTTAGATTTTCCAAAATGTCTTGATTTTAGATTTCCTGGGAATGGGAATGCTAGGATTTGGGAATTGTTTTAGTTTTATTTTTAAAAGTATCCATAAACTGAAACATGTACTTTGTAGGCACACATGTATATAATACATAGCTTAAAATCCTCACAAATGTTTTTTCATTAGAAGGAAAAAGGTAGAAATTGTGGCAACAGAAATTGATAAATTGTAACACAATTTTTTAACAAGTGTAAATATGTAAACTGTAAATATAAAGTTGTTATTTGTTAAGAATTTTGAAAACTATTGCAAAAAATTAAGTGTTTTTTGAAGATAATAATGAGTTTTAAAATAAATGACAAAAACAGCATTTCCATATGCTGTAGCTATATTTATCTTTGTTTGAATAACTTCAATCCTCCAATAAAATTCATAAAAAATTATTGAAATATTTTAATTTTTTGTAAAGTTGTTGTTATGAATTTTATTAATCAGTACAAAAATTTTTTAATATAAAGGAAGAGAAAAAATTATAAATTTTTAAAATCTATTATTGTATTATTACACATTTTATGAAAAAACAAAAAACATAAATGACATATTAGGATTACATAAAAAATAAAGTTATTACAGTTTTAAAAATCACAAACCATAAAATTTGGATATATTTTTGGAGTTTCCTTGTATCTTAAAAAATATGGAAAAATATTGACGATTAATACTTTGAAAAAACGTAAAAAGTACAGAAAAGTATGTTATGAATGAAATATTGAACTTCTATACAGGTATATTAAGAATATTTTGTGAAAAATAACATCACAGTTAAATCACCCCAAAAGTTTCTTAAGGCCATTTTTGTATGCAAATCAGCTTGTGCAAAACTTTTAGTTCATCAAGAATAAAAATAGCTGTTAGTTGCAAACATATATATAAAATATTTTTTCAAGTTTTAAAAGCTTAAAAAAATTTCTAGGAATTGACCTTTAGAAATTGACCTCAGGAATTCCTATGCCAGACTTCTATTCTATTCCTATCCTATTATAATCCTATTCCAAAGAACTCCCATGTTCAAAACATGAAAGCGCAAGTTACAGATTTTGGAATTTTGGATTGGGGATACTCAACCTGTATATATATTTTGTGGCCACATGCTGAAATTTTCCATTTCAAGAAGTGCTCAGCCATTTCTTGAAGTGCTAATACAATCTGTAATAGACATTTGTTTCAGAATATTTTTAGTTTTTCTGGTCACTTCTTGAAATGCTAACATGGTATTCACAGATATTAAAATGAGTGTAGCAAAACTAAGCATTTCATGTAATGTCTAATGGCTTATTATCACTTGGCATAAAATAAAACATCTAAATGTTTTTGAACTTCTTTACGTTGCAACATTAATTACTGCAAAAAAAAACTGGATGTACTATTATAATTAACTCAAAAACACTAAATTCAGTAACAAAAAACAAATTTAATAATTTAAACAAATCTACAAATACCAGATTAATATTTTAAGAAACAACCAGTAAAATTAGACAGATTATGAAACAAATGTCTATTACAGTGTTTCTCAATGGGGGCAATATCGCCCCCATGTAGGTGTTTTTCCATGTTGAGGAGGCGATTAGTAACAATTTATATTTTGGGGGGGCGAAAAACAATTTTCTGGGCAATATAATAAAACATTATATTCAGAATAATTAGATATTTTATTCGTTATATCGTATAATAATTAAACAAATAACATTATACTAGTCACTAGTCTATTCAATGCAGTACGAATTTGACGTTAGCCTTGGCCCTCGGCATTAGAATTTTGAAGTGAAGAGGGCAATACTATATAATGGTTTTATTGAAGGGGGTGACGATTTGCTAGAGGTTGAGAAACACTGGTCTATTACATGATTTGCTAGTACTACAAGAAATGACTAAGCACTTCTTAAAGTGGCAAATTTCAGCATGTGGCTATGACATGTACAGTGTACATATATTCAATCTGACATACATGTGATCAGTGGTACAAAGAATTAAGCTACCACTATAAAGACTTGAATGTCTTTCTCATTCTTTTTATTTAGTTTGCCTTTCTTTTTCCCTTCATTTTACAGAGTATTCATTATGCATTACATCTAAAGAAGTTAGTCTTTTAGTTTTTGACACTATATGATGAACATAGTAGGAAATATGGGTCACTTGTAAGTAGAAATTTCTTTCTCTCCTGTAAAGGAAAACAGATGATATATATCTGTACATCATAAGTATTGGATATTGTTTTCTGCATAATCATTTTGTTATTTCTTATTTTCTTTCTTCATGAAATATGAACTAGTTTGCTATACTGTTTAATGATAATTATATTCTAAAATTATGCAGTCACTTTAATTAAATTAGATTACTTTGTTTTACTTAATTAAAAATACAAAATTAAATTAAAGAAAATTTATTCTAAATAAAATTTTCAGAAATATATAGAATATTATATACAATTTTAAAATTTTTATTCAATTTCATAATTGATATGAAATTTTGTGTCTTTTAGAATTGTATTGAGTAACTCTTTATTAAATGTAATATTTATTACTCTATTTTTATTTTTACAGAATATTGATAATAAGGAAAAATCCAACACAATTATTTTTGACATCTCAAAAAATGAATTATTTAGTTTAAATGAGGGTTATAGGACATTAAATAGAAGATTAAAGAATAATTGGAAAGTGTTTAGGTAAGTAGATATATATTAATAAAGCAGTTATTAGTAAATTAATTAATTTGTTTAAAGTTTATAAAGATTTATTGTATATATGTTTTTTGTTTCTAGTATAACTTTTAACTAACTCTATTATACATAATTTTTTAAAGCTCAATGTCAGTTTTATGTTGAATCAGAAAATTTTTATATATTATCTATGTAAAAATAAGTAATTATTCCTCACAGTTTCATATGAATAACATATATGTTGTGTATGCTTAAAAATAAATTTTAAAGTAGATGTGGGTTATATGATGATTTTAAATTACAGTTAAAAATGTATCAAAAAGCTTTTTCTTAGTCTAAGATCATTAAGACTGTCTTTAGGAAACTTGAAAAAATCATCTCTGTACCACCATACAGTAGTACGTTTGTGTTTCATTATAAGTGATCAACATTTCATTTCATTATGTCTGCCATATCAGTCTTTTAGATGTTGCAACTGTTCTTGTTTTCTATTGGCTATCAATTTCCTGTTTTTGCTTACAACAATAGAAGTCAAAATATTTTTTTATTTAATTTTTTGTGTGTTTTTTATTCTATAGAGGCAGAAATTATTTCTGATCTTTATTTCTACATTATTTTATTACAGTTGGGAATAAAGCTTTGCCATTTATAAAAATAATTATTTAAAATTTAATAGTAAATTATTCAATGGGATCAGTTATTTAGTTAAAATGAATAAAAATAACTATATTTCTAAAAATTTGAATCTAAATTATTTAATAAATTATTTAAATTATAATTATTAACTTAGATAAGAGATGGTGCCTAATGTCTACCTCTAGTAGCAAATTACTTAGTATTAATTATTATAATAGTGGATTTATAGCTTGGGTATTTAAGGCGATCATTTGGCTTTATATCTATACTGTTGTATCTATATGTGTTATGTACTTCATATTTATATGATTATTTTATTTAATAAAAAGTAAAACATCTAGATATGAGTCCAATTTTTCTTGCCATGTCTAATCACCGGGATTATTTTATATTAATTTGCAGTAATAAAGAAGAAATATCAATGCAAGTATTATTGCAAACGGCAGTATTTGTTTTACCAGGACCACGTGAAAAATTTACAGAAATTGAGGTTAGTAATTTATTATGAAAATTAGTGATTCCTAGATAATTTTTATTGCTAATAATATTTATTATGTATTATTAATTTAAAATGTTTTTAGAATTGTAAATCTATGAAATGCACTATGATTGATGTATTGACCTCTCTTAATGAATATAGTAGACTCTCATTGAGTTGAGTTCCTTGTTTAGTTTCTGCACAATTTTATTATGTTGGTAAAATTTCTGTTTTTTGTGTAAGTTAATGGCTCTACTCTGGATTGTTGCTGACTCTGCTGTTTGGTAACCAAGTCAGAGTCGGGCCAGTAGCTTGAGGTTTATTGAGACAGGAGGTTTACAAAGGTTTATTGTCTTGTTTATGATCTATTTGATTGATAAATGCAACTTTTTCAATTTACTGGCTGTTTAGAAAAATTTTGTTACAACTTGATGATTGATGATTGTCAATAAGAAGTTGGTGATTGTCTATGTCTACTTTAGCCTAACCTTGTCTATTCTAGTCTATGTGATGAAAAGAGTATGTATGTTTTTCCTGTATTAAAAAAAAAACTGAAAGTGTTGATTTAGCTCCATGTAAATCACTGACATTAAAAGAGATGGTAGAACCTATTAAATAGAAAATTAGTAGAAGTGTTCAAGATTGGGAAAAGCAAAGCTATAGAAGTTATCAAGAAACAAAAAGAGTTATTCAGTCATTGGTGTCATAATGATAATCTGACAGTTGCAAAGTGGATATAGCACTCTTGTTGACAAGTTGGTCATAGAATGGTTCTAAAGGGCCAAAAGTCAGAATATTCCTACATCAGGATTGATTATATAAGTTAAAGCTTTATAATTTGTAATTGAATTAGATGCTGTGGACTTCAAAATGTCTCAAATGGATGGCTTAAAAACTTTTAAAAGTAAATATTATTAAATTCAAAACAGTTTGTTTAGAATTTGTAGAGTTTATTGAAATACAGTAGTGCATTTGTAGAGTTTATTGAAATACAGTAAGCTTTCTTCCATTATCAATGGTTATTCTTTTATATATACATATATATTTTTTTAACGTTGACTTACAGTAGTGTTTATAAGAACATTTGATGACTTCCCACAAAGCAATATTTCCATTAAAAAAAAATCAATAAAAACTTTCCAAAAAATATTTTTGAATGCATATGAAAGAGGACTGTTCTTTCATGCTCTCTTGACTAAAACTTTATGCTTCAAGGGCAAGTCATATTCCAAAAGCAAAGTAGCAAAAGAACAACTAACAGTTCTGTTATGTGCAAATATGAGTGAAGAATGCACTGAAAATTAGAAAGGCTACAAAATTAAAATGTTTCAAGAATATATAGATGTTACAAAATTTGAAATTGAATGGAAATCAAAGAGAAAGGCCTGAATGATGAGGAATTATGACAGAGTGGCTGGAATAGCTAAACAGGAAAATGTTACATCACTTTCTCAACCTTTGTAAATTTCAAAGTTAAGTCAAAGGTTAGGAAGCATATAATTGCAAATGTAAACTTGAGATATTTTGACAAAGCAACTCAATATCTTTCAAGTCATTTCATGGATTTCAATTATTTGGAGACTAGTTCTGCCGTAAACAATTCAGTTTTTAGTTTCAAAGCCAAATTTCTTTCCAGTAATGAGAATACTTACAGATTTGCTGTAGTCATTTTGAATAATATGGAGACAACACAGTCTCGTGAATGCAGCAATATTTATCATTACTGAAAATCATTATATCAACATAGATTCTAACATCTAACTGAATGTACAAGCCTAGATACAAAAGCAATTCTTCAGTTATTTTCTTAGATTTAAGAAAAGAAGAATAATGATAATGATGACAATGGCTTCATAGCCAAAATGACGCCTGTTACAGAGCCACCAATAGAGTTATACAGATAGGAACTGGACTATGTGAACAAACTCAAGCAGTTTTACATTAATAGAAAACACAGATAGTACAAAGCCAGCACATGATTTAATTATGCATAATGAGAAACAGATTGCTACAATCAATTGTAAAAAACAAACACAACTAAATAAAAAAAATACTGACTTTCTTATGATAATTTATCACTTATTGTAATGTGTCACATTACTTTTCTTTGCATGATATATTTATTATATGTTTGTAAATAAAAATAGTACAGGCTACATTTAAAGGATGTTTTATTTAAAGGCAATTTTCACAAAAACTTTCTTGAGTGCAGAGCTCTCTATAACAATAGTTTTTTGGTCCTTTAAGGGTTTGTTATAGAGAAGTTTTACTGTACTTATTTTAATTATAGCATTTTAAAAAATTTTAGACATAAATTTTCAATGACATCCATCTGTCTGTCTCCTTAATCTCAAGAACGGATGACTCACTCTGTACCAATTACAGTGTGATAATAAAACAATAAAAACAAACATTTTCGAATCCCCTCTGGGCTCTGCATCAGGTTCTTAACCATTCCTAGTTGGTTATTTGATAATGGAATAACATTTAAATAAGAGTTCGATTATAAGTTCAAAAAATTTACAAAAATGTTTTTGTTGTTTTATTATCACACTGTAATTGGTTCACAGTGTGTCATTAAAATTTCGGTGTGGTGAGTTGTTATTTCCTCATGAATGGAGTTATATAGATGAAAGCCGAGACCAAATATAGAAAGATTGGGGCAGGAGGCCCCAATTAACTATATACAAACTTTCAGTGCAAACTGGAAGTGATATTATTTCAATTCAAAAATTTTTCCCTGAAAGGAGTTAGATAGATGATTGGCACGACTTTATTGCTAACAGAAAAGTATGATGTACAGGGGCAAGACACTACTAATTTGAGATGGAGAGTATATATTTTAAATTAAAAATTATTAAAAATATGATTAAAAATTGCAGCCTGGCATTGTGATGATGTCACAATAAATAATTGCTCGTATGGTATTATAATTTTGAATTATATATCTGACTATATTTATTGGTATTTTTTGTAACAATACTTCAATATCAAAAATTAGAATTAAATAATATATTCCTAGATTTCTAATACATAATATATACAAAGTATGTATGTACAGTACTTGCAATCTACAATGCTAAAGTATTAAACTTTTATTGTCTTTTTATTTTTTTTATATTTGTATATGTATTATGGTTAATTCTTAAGTCTTTAATTATAATACAGTGGAGATGAAAATTTAATCTATTTAAATAGTAATTTTTGACTGAATAATACTTTGAAATGGGTTTGTATATCTTTCAGTAGTGATAAGTAAGTTTGTATTGAGAAAAATTTTTATTTTTAGTTTAACAACTTAAGGAAATTTCTGGACTCAGGTGGAAGTTTATTTGTATTAATGGGAGAAGGAGGAGAGAAAAAATTTCAGACTAATATAAATTTTCTTTTAGAAGAATATGGAATAATGGTGAATAATGGTAAGTTGTACAAATAAAGTAAACAATATACTAGTTCTTTTAATATTGTATTCAAAAACAATTTTTTGCTTAAAAAATGGAGTAATTAAAGGAAAGCAAAAAATTTTTTTAATTTACAATACAAATCAGTGAAATTTGCTATTTCAAAGAGATAATTTGAAAATGTATTAAATGCTGTCTAATACAATACAAAATTAAATATTTTTAGTAAAAATGTAATTATTTATAATGACATATCTTCTTTAAATATAAGAATTGCAATAAGTTTTTAATCATTTTAAAAATAAATATTTCCATTAAATTAAACATGCATTGTCAACTTTTTTCAAATATTTGTCAAAGTAATTATTAAATATTTTAGCAATAATAAAATATGATGTCAAATTTTTTTTATAAAAGTTTGTTTATATTGTTTTTATAATCATTTATTTGTATTTATAAATTACTTGCACATTAAATTTATTTACTGGAATATAAAGCAGAACAAAATGTTTGAAAAGCATACTACATGAAAATAATTAATGCTTAAAAGAACTTATGTGAATTTTATGAAAGTTTATTATGTTATGGTATTTGAATATTATGCAAATGATTATTTTATTGTGAACATTCTATTTGGTCATTTCTTTAGTATATTGACAATTTCTTAATAGTTTAGTAATATTTTAAATTTTGATTTATTTATCTGAAGTTTAATATATAAATAACTGAAAAAATCGTAAAATCTAGCTTATTTTTTCTAAACAGAAATTTAAATTCTGTTTTTGGTAATTGAATAATTTTCCTTTAATTCCTAAATTAAAATAAAATTTTAACTCTATAGCTGGACAAAACAAGGAGAAAACTTTTATAATTTGTTGATTTTTTTCATCTTTGTCAGAGAATATTACAAATTTTGACTAATGTTAATGAATCTCACACATACAATTTTTACACATTTCAATATTAGATTTAAAGTTTTTTATTTAATTTTTAAAAGTTATTTGAATTTTATATTAAGGTACATATTCTAACATTCAGATTTTCAAAATATTTTATTGTAAAAAGCTTCATTGTGTGTTGTTTGTTTGAATTATTCTATTTAACTGTTTGATGATAGATTCAAAAAAGCCAAAAACATTTTTTTTAAATAAAAGTTTTATTTGCCTTAATTCAAGTCTTTACTTACATTTTTCTATTTTGCCATGTGGAAATATAATTATAAAATATACATTATAAAAATAAATCATACTGTAAGAAAATTCACTCTGAAAAATTTCTGATTTCTGGTTTATTAGTTTTTAAAATAAAATTATTTAAGCTAGTTAAATATAAATTTGATTAAAAAATTAAAATACTTAAAATTTTATATTTTTCTGTTTAAATATTTATTAAGTATGATACATTTTTAGATTCTGTTGTAAGAACTGTCTACTATAAATATTTTCATCCAAAAGAAGCTCTTGTTTCAAATGGAGTGTTAAATAGAGCAATTAGTCAAGCAGCTGGAAAAATTTTACCAGGCCAAGGATTGGAAGATGCAAATAATACACAGTATGCAAAATTAAACTTACAAATATTTTGAGAATATACAGTAATTTAATGTTTTCTTGTGCTATTTTTAACTAATGAATAAAATTAAATCAAATAGTTTAATTTTTTCAAAATTAAGACAAAATTTAATAATTAGGCTATTCTAATAATTAAATTAAATACAAGATGACAACTTAATTGTTTATATTTAGTTCAAATTACATAAGATCTTTATATTTAAATAGTCCTGTAATGAATCTGATTTCATCATTGATTAATATAATTTTGTATTGATTTCTTACATGATTACAAATATGTATCGGACATTTCTTTGTTTAGTGGCAAGAAAACAAAAACTAGTTAAAACAATAAGTTAGCAGAAAACAAGTAAAATAGATTAAAATAAAATTATTTTTTAATTAATGAAAATGTAATTGTTGGTAAAAAAGAATGATGATTGGGGAAGTGAGTTTGTTATCATGAACAGGGTGTCAACCCACCTGGAAAACTGGTAATTAGCTTGGAATTTTTGGCACCGGAAAAAAGCTGTTTTTAAATTTTATAATGAACATCATTGGATAATGAACCCAAATCAACTTATTATATGAGGTCTATTCAGAAAATTCCTATACTTTTAAATTAATGTGCCAACAAGTATCACTGATGAGGGGAACTACACCTATGTCCCCCACCAATTTTGATGAATTTTGGTGCAAAGGTAGTATTTGATATGATAATGCAGTCATTCAAACTGTTTTATTCTATGGGCCATATGAGTGAATTATGACTAATAGAATGTGAAAGTACTTCTCATGGAAGACAATAATACAATAGTTCAGTCACAGTGGTGCTAATCTGCTAAAGAAGAGAGGAGCAGCAAGAGAAAGTTGATGGAGTGTTTGTTATCTACACCATGATATTATATCACTCACTAAAATACCAACACAATTGTTATTTGGAGAAGGAGTACAGTGAGTGATCGGTTAACAAACAGTTTGGATAGTGAACAAATTGGATAACAAACACTTTTGCGAAAGATTTTTATGATTGGACAATGAACACTTTACTGAACAAACAAAACAAGAAGTGACAGAAAATAACGAATATCAATTGATTTTCCCTTGTCTTCAGGTAACAATTCGAAACATTTCAAAGCGTGGGAGACATCAACATTGATGCTCAACCCGATACCAATCGGATAGTTTCCTCCGAAGTTTGAAATTCTCCCTTGTAATTCCAGCTTTTTGTTTACCTTTCTGGCAAATAATTTTTTATAGTCTTCGCGAGACTGCCGGATGGGCATTTGTTAAGTTTTGCGTCAGGGTTTATTTACGAAAGGTGAAAGTTTAACAGTCCCATCGGATATTCGTTAACGTTTTAATACCAAATTTCGAATTTCATCCAGGCCTTGCATTTAAATAACGTTTTGTGGGTTAGTTGATTTCTGTCCTCTGAATTTTTGTAAGTGCTTTTCTGAACTTTTTCTTTAAAAAACAAACTGATAATATTATGGAGCCTAAAAAAACAAGTGTCAAAACCTGTGCTCACCGTAGAAACCATATAAGAGATAATAGCCAAGGTAGAAAGTGGGCACAAGATGTCTGATGTTGCTAGGTAGTGTGGCTTGAACAGGTCTATAGTAGGCACAATCTTAGCTATGAAAGATATATCAAGAAGTCTCGAGCTGTTAATGGAGTAATGAAAATCACATCTGAGAAATAAAGATCATTTTAGAGCTCATAATAGAACCTGAAACTGATCTGACGACAGAACTCCAAGAACTCTCAAATGAAGAATATCAAGAAACTCAGAGAGATGTGTTTTCTTTTGAAAAAGAGGAAGACAAAAGAGGATCAATGTCAACATCTGCTACTAAAGATCTTTTGAAGAAGTGGGAGGATGTAGAACAACAATCATCCAAGTGGCATCCAAACCAGAATAAGGTTAATGGGGTTGGGGATCTCTACAATTACAATACTATTAATTACTTCCGAAAAATCCTGAAGAACAGAGAAAAGCAACTGACATACTAAGAAAATGGTTCATTGTTATCTGTTTAAGATCAGTCACAACCAGCAGTTGCTTGCTGCTAACAGGAACACCCATTTACCTTTGCATTGATCTTCCTTCCCAGAATGGAGTGGATATATAAAGGCAATGGAAGATCTTGTGGAGTAAGGGAGATTTTCATCTCAATTGAACAGTAAATACCTATACCTATTGCATTTGGGTCTGGATAAACCGTAATGTTTTCCAGCAGACTTCCTATATTTGGCTAAAATTAGTCTGATATAGATTCCACATTTCTCTTTGGACCATTCTTCTTGAAGAAGCTAGTCCAAACACATCTGTGTATGTTGTGACTGCTCAGAGATACTGAGAGATGCTCAACACTTTTGTCATATTCCAACTGCAACAGCAACAATGCCTTGATCAACCAGCTTTCATGCAAGATGGATATCCTCCAGACATAGAACACAACATTTAGCAGTTTCTGCAAAATTTCACTGATAACAGAGTGATAGTCATTCATTTCCTACTACCTGGCAACTATTCTATGGATCTTAATCTGTGTGATTTTTCATTATGGGGATGCTTAATAAGTTTAATTTATTGAGGATATGTTGCAAATTTGGAGCCTTGAAAGATACTATCACAATGAATTTACACCTTTAAAAATTAGACCGTTTGGACTGCTCTATATCTCTCAAATATCTCTCTAGAGATCATTGAGTACAAACATTTTAATGATAATCACCAAATATATAAAATTTGCAAATTCATAGTAATTATGAATGACATAAATTTATTTAGATTTTTCCAAAATATAAAATAGAAATCAACCCAACCAGTTTTAACAATACAGTAGGCTTGTCGCGCTTGTCAGAAGACAAACAAAAACGCGATATAACCAAGTACTTTTTAGTACTTGGTTATATCGCGTTTTTGTGTCTTCTGGGCTTTTTACTAAACANTGATGGATTAAAAAAAAGCCAAAAACATTTTTTTTAAATAAAAGTTTTATTTGCCTTAATTCAAGTCTTTACTTACATTTTTCTATTTTGCCATGTGGAAATATAATTATAAAATATACATTATAAAAATAAATCATACTGTAAGAAAATTCACTCTGAAAAATTTCTGATTTCTGGTTTATTAGTTTTTAAAATAAAATTATTTAAGCTAGTTAAATATAAATTTGATTAAAAAATTAAAATATTTAAAATTTTATATTTTTCTGTTTAAATATTTATTAAGTATGATACATTTTTAGATTCTGTTGTAAGAACTGTCTACTATAAATATTTTCATCCAAAAGAAGCTCTTGTTTCAAATGGAGTGTTAAATAGAGCAATTAGTCAAGCAGCTGGAAAAATTTTACCAGGCCAAGGATTGGAAGATGCAAATAATACACAGTATGCAAAATTAAACTTACAAATATTTTGAGAATATACAGTAATTTAATGTTTTCTTGTGCTATTTTTAACTAATGAATAAAATTAAATCAAATAGTTTAATTTTTTCAAAATTAAGACAAAATTTAATAATTAGGCTATTCTAATAATTAAATTAAATACAAGATGACAACTTAATTGTTTATATTTAGTTCAAATTACATAAGATCTTTATATTTAAATAGTCCTGTAATGAATCTGATTTCATCATTGATTAATATAATTTTGTATTGATTTCTTACATGATTACAAATATGTATCGGACATTTCTTTGTTTAGTGGCAAGAAAACAAAAACTAGTTAAAACAATAAGTTAGCAGAAAACAAGTAAAATAGATTAAAATAAAATTATTTTTTAATTAATGAAAATGTAATTGTTGGTAAAAAAGAATGATGATTGGGGAAGTGAGTTTGTTATCATGAACAGGGTGTCAACCCACCTGGAAAACTGGTAATTAGCTTGGAATTTTTGGCACCGGAAAAAAGCTGTTTTTAAATTTTATAATGAACATCATTGGATAATGAACCCAAATCAACTTATTATATGAGGTCTATTCAGAAAATTCCTATACTTTTAAATTAATGTGCCAACAAGTATCACTGATGAGGGGAACTACACCTATGTACCCCACCAATTTTGATGAATTTTGGTGCAAAGGTAGTATTTGATATGATAATGCAGTCATTCAAACTGTTTTATTCTATGGGCCATATGAGTGAATTTTGACTAATAGAATGTGAAAGTACTTCTCATGGAAGACAATAATACAATAGTTCAGTCACAGTGGTGCTAATCTGCTAAAGAAGAGAGGAGTAGCAAGAGAAAGTTGATGGAGTGTTTGTTATATACACCATGATATTATATCACTCACTAAAATACCAACACAATTGTTATTTGGAGAAGGAGTACAGTGAGTGATCGGTTAACGAACAGTTCGGATAGTGAACAAATCGGATAACAAACACTTTCGCAAAAGATTTTTATGATTGGACAACGAACACTTTACTGAACAAACATAATAAGAAGTGACAGAAAATAACGAATATCAATTGATTTTCCCTTGTCTTCAGGTAACAATTCGAAACATTTCGAAGCATGGGAGACATCAACATTGACGCTCAACCCGATACCAATCGGATAGTTTCCTCCGAATTTTGAAATTCTCCCTTGTAATTCCAGCTTTTTGTTTACCTTTCTGGCAAATAATTTTTTATAGTCTTTGCGAGACTGCCGGATGGGCATTTGTTAAGTTTTGCGTCAGGGTTTATTTATGAAAGGTGAAAATTTAACAGTCCCATCGGATATTCGTTAATGTTTTAATACCAAATTTCGAATTTCATCCAGGCCTTGCATTTAAATAACGTTTTGTGGGTTAGTTGATTTCTGTTCTCTGAATTTTTGTAAGTGCTTTTCTGAACTTTTTCTTTAAAAAAGAAACTGATAATATTATGGAGCCTAAAAAAACGAGTGTCAAAACCTGTGTTCACCGTAGAAACCATATAAGAGATAATAGCCAAGGTAGAAAGTGGGCACAAGATGTCTGATGTTGCTAGGCAGTATGGCTTGAACAGGTTTACAGTAGGCACAATCTTAGCTATGAAAGATATATCAAGAAGTCTCAAGCTACTAATAGAGTAATGAAAATCACATCTGAGAAATAAAGAACATTTTAGAGCTCATAATGGAACCTGAAACTGATCTGACGACAGAACTCCAAGAACTCTCAAATGAAGAATATCAAGAAACTCAGAGAGATGTGTTTTCTTTTGAAAAAGAGGAAGACAAAAGAGGATCAATGTCAACATCTGCTACTAAAGATCTTTTGAAGAAGTGGGAGGATGTAGAACAACAATCATCCAAGTGGCATCCAAACCAGAATAAGGTTAATGGGGTTGGGGATCTCTACAATTACAATACTATTAATTACTNGGACATATTCGAGAAATAATAATAAAATATTTAGAAAATATGCAGCAAAACATAGTAATAAATCAAGAGATCTGTTAATTAAAACAAATAGTTTATGTATGGAAAAATCGAAAACGTCCAGTATAGTACAATTTAACTTATAAATTGTACTTGTGATAACAAAGTGAAACTGGTATTGTGATAACAAAGTGATATTGGTGAAACTGGTAGATCTTTAGGTATTAGAGTAAAAGAGAGTGAATCAACAATCAGATTAAGGTACAAATAATCACCATGGTCTATTCATTGTACCATTGATAAAAATAATGTAAAAATATTAGCTAAAGAAAAAACAATTATTTATGAAAATTTAAAGAGCATATAATGATAATGAATTTAAATAGAGAAACAGATGATATATGGGATGACATCATCATCAGTAATAAGTGCTGTAGATGAGGGTAGAATAATGAGTGTGTCTTATGTATTCATGCATGTGGTTTTAATAATTGTAAATTTACTTCATTGTAGAAAAGTCAGTGATGGTTTTAATTGTATAATTTAACTTACAGTATTCATTTTTAGATAATCTAGAGAAAAATACATAAAAACAATAAATTGTAATGCAAAGTTAATTTGGTTAATTTGTTGTGGAAGTATTGTGCATTAAAAAAGATATAAAATGTAAAGTACAATTTCAAATACATGTAAGAAAATGAAATATGTTTTTTTCTTGGATTTGTTTAAACAGATCTTATTATCACAATGTATAATCATCTTGATTAGAGCATGAATGCATTTTTCACATAACAAGAATACACTTTATTCAAGAATAATATCATAGAACTCTTAATTTTTTACTTTGGTCATAGTTGTATGATGTCATTGTCATGAAATTATGACTTATCTAGTTCTTTTAATCTATTTGACAATAATTTACACTTCTTTATTTCAGAAAACTGATGGAAAAATAGCTGTATTATAATCTATTGATTTTCAATTGTTTTAAAATAAAACAAATTTAATGTTTGATATATGAGAATTTATTACATAATTTATATCATATAATAGATTTATAACAAATGTATTCTTATGGCAAAAATTTTCAAGTTTTCATTATTCTTTGTTTATGGTGATGATAATGTATTTAACTTTTTGATGATTTAGGGCCTTATCATTTTTATATCCATATGGAGCAACTTTAAATGTTGCCAAACCTGCAGTTGCTGTTCTTTCATCAGGAAGTGTAGCATTTCCATTAAACAGACCAGTTTGTGCCTTATATGTCAATCCAGTAAGATAATTTTTTAATAAGTTTTTTTGAAATAAATAATTTATTTTATATTATATTATTTTTAGTTTATTCCGTTATTACTGTTTCCAATTCAAATAATCATATTCTTTCAATTCTTCCAAAAACTGGCTGTATGTAATGAAAAGCATACCAAAACCTGTAAAACTACTTAGTAATACAGATGTTTTCATTCATTACCCATGAACATCATCAGGTATATTTAAACTCCAAATCTTTATTTTTAAATGTGTTTGATTGTTTAAAGTTGTTCTGTATGATGATGATCTTGGGTAATAGACAAAAATGTTTTAATAGTTAAATAGTTTTACTGATTTGGGTATATTTGGTTTGTTTTTTATAATCATATTTAATATTCATTTAAAATTTTGAGTATAGACATACAAATATTTAAGCCAAACAATTGTCAGATTTCATCAGACTATGATTTGGCTTTAATCTAAGAATCAGGTTTATAGATGTTTAAATTTGTACTAAATATATACAATACAAATACTTCTGTTAATGTTTCTATTACTTATCAAAACAGTCTTGCAACTCATTTTGCATTACTTCCTTGAGAACAATCATCATAACACTTTTTACCTCTTCTGATTTGAATCTGTAATTCTTCAGTAGAGCAATTTTGGTGAAGATACAAAAGTCTATGGGATTGGGGTCCAATGAATAAGAAAGCTGTGAAAATACAGACATCTAATGTTTTCTCAGATATTCACTTAGGAGAGTGCAATGTGCCAGGGCATTATTGTGATGGAAACCTAGTTTTTTGCTTGCTAGTCCTGTTTTTAAAAACATACCATTTGTATACATGCATAAATGACGGCATCATTACCTTATGCTTTAAGCTCATTAAATGTTTTGGTAAACTTTTTACCAAGTTTGATGCAGAAGTTAATGCTGATTCATTGCTTGTAATATTCAGAATTCTGATAGTGCATACCTATCTACTCCAATACTTTGAAATTTTGTGTTCTAATTCATCTGAATACATACATCCACCATGTGTCAAATAAGTACTGACATATCTAAGTAAAATGTTTGAATGCACATACAGTTTCCATGTAATGCATGCTTGCAATTACAGCCAGTTCTAGGTAATTTCAAAATTTCATTGGTAAAATCTAATTAATTACAGTTGTTATAATAATTTTTTTAAATAGGAAAAAAATACTTTAGGCAAATAGAAGGAATAAGTATGGGAACAGTTATAGGACCAAAACTGGTAGAAATAGTTATGATTGAAATTGATAAAAAAAATAGTGCTTCAAAAAGGATTAATCTTTATGGCAAGATGCACGGATGATATGTTTCTAATGTATGATAGTACTAAAACTGATGATAAGTGGATTCTAAAATTTGTTAATGATTTAAACCCTTCCATAAAATTTGAAATTGAACTGGAAATGAATAAAAATTTAAATTATTTAGACATTACAATAACTAGATCTGACAAAAAACTTCAAGTAAGAATATATGAAAAACAATGTAATACTGAAAAAATGATAAATTATAGATCATATTGCCCATTATCTGTAAAAAAGAATGAATTTATTGCAGCCTTAGCCAAGATATGTGAAGAACAACAAATTTACAGGATATAATGAGAGATCAACAAAATTTAAAACAGAAGTTTTTATTTAACAATTATCTGAATGCATTACTAAACAAATGAATTAAAAATCATAATTCGTATAGGTTTAATGTAAAAGTTAACANAAATAGTAAATAACACCCCAAAATATAATAATGTATTTTTTAGTAGGAATAATTAGTTTACAGTGGTATCTTGTATTCTGAACACTTCAGAATTCTAATGCAAAATTTGACAAAAATTAGCCTCAAAGTTTGAACTGCACACACAGTGAAAAAATGTGCTCAAAGCATAAATGCAATCCGTTATGTGTCCAAGTCATCTTTTGCATTATGCTTGTATGTTTTCAGTGCTTGTTTTTTGCTTTACTTTTAGTGTATTTTGTTATATATACTGTATTGTGTGTTATTCATTGATTTTTAACAATTTCTTCCTGCAGTTTTTCTTTGTTGACAGCTTTTGGGTGCCTCCTATGTTTTGTATCCTTTAGTTAAAAATTTCCCAAATGGAACTTTTTAAACCACATTTGACATGTTTGAAGTTCATCTTCCTCATACACATTACAAATTTTTTTACAGTTTGTATGGGTGTTATACTATTTTCAAAACTCATAAAGCATAATATTCATGATATACTTTTTATCTGAAGACATTACAACTTGATTTTATTCAAACAAAATGTGAAATAAAGAGTTTAAAGTAAACTTCTGAACAAAGAATAAAATCTCACACTATATATAATATATTAAACTTCACAACTGTTATAATTAAATCATGTCTATGTTAAGATGCCAAAGTCCAGTTTGTAACCAATAAATGCAATTTAAATTTTATTATACAGTATTTATTTATTTTATTTATGGTTTTCATGTTTTAGTTTATTATTAGGGCATTTAATAGTATTAATTTTACTTTAAATTATGTATATTTGCTGTTTTAAGTTTATCAAAATATGTATTGTTCAGGGTCATTGGTTAATTCACTTTCCACTATTTCTAATGAGAAAAATTGATTAAATTTTGAACAATTCAGAGTTCGAACAACTTTCTGGAATGAATTAAATTTGAAGTATGCAGGAGGCACCACTGTATATATAATTAAATAGTGTTTAAAAGATTTTTAAACTATCAATCTGTATGGGGGGAGGAAATCATTATCATCTTAACATTTGAATGAAATTTTTTTTGTTTTTGCAATATAATTCTAATTAAATATAAGCTAGATTTGAGAGAAATGATGTACTTTTCAAAGTAAATTTGATAAACATGTTAAAAATTTTCATCACAAATATGACATATATAAAATGATGATTATTTTTGATTTGATGAAATTTTGTTTTAATAATACACAAAAAAGATATGTGAAAATAATATTAATTAATAAAGTGGATTAATTGTTAAAATTTTTACTATATACTAGTAGATGAGCCCAGCATTGCTTGAGCAAAAAGTAACGATAGCAAAGATTAAGATTATTAGATTATAACCAATCTTACCAAGTGCAGGAATTAGGTTCCTCCTTTTCCAAGACTAATTCAAGAATTTTTAAATGGGTCTAAAAATATGTTTGATTTCCTGCAAAAATGCAAAAAAAAAACACATCTAAAATAGTACAGTAGATGCTGAGTTCTTCAGGGTAATCCTTAACCCTCTCCCACTCCCCTGTAGAGGGGAATTTTGAAAATCCTTTCTTACTGAGCATTCTCATGATGTACCTAACTGTGTACCTGATTTCGACTTTCAACTCCTAACCTTATTATTACTAATATAAGGGCTCTGTGCTCATTATTATTATGTTGGGTTTAGTGGGTTATACTCGGTTGACACCGGTAGCTGTGTATTATGCTGGACCAGAGTCAAGGCATAGTAACCAAAACAAAACAAAAAACAAATATTAAATAAATGTGTTACAGTGTGTCTGTATTCAGAAATTTCCTAATAATATGACATGTATTCAGCATAGTTGTCTTCTGTAGTGTGATGTATATGTTTCTATTCAACTGTAATGTTTCCAGGCTTTTGTGTAGGGTGTGTGGTATCACACCTGTACAGGAGAGAAAACAGGTACAATAAGCACCCTATCCGTCTTCCACAGATGCCTTATTTTCTGGGCAAGTTCTGTGTACTTGCTGACTTTTTCATGCATGTGTTTTGTACATTGTGAGTGTTTGGAATGGCTATGTCTATAATGTATGTGATTTTATTGTGCTTGTCAATGAGTGTGATGTCTGGTTTGTTGTGGAAATTGCTTTATCTGTGATTATGGCTCTGTCGTAGTACATTTTGTGCATGTTGTTTTCCAATACTGTCTGTGGAATGTATTTGTAGTATGGTTTGTGGATATCTAATAATTTGTGTTTGTTTGCAAGCTCTTGTTGTATTATATTTGCTACTTGATTATGTCTGTGTAAATAATCTGTCTGTGCCAAGAGCTTGCACCCAGA